ATGGAGAAAGTTATATTTACAAATTTTTTGTTTACAAACTCTTACAAATTATATTATGTTTGACCGGTAATACTTCAATCAAGAGTGTATGACCGGTCAGATTAAATGTAATATGTAAAAAAAAATATAAACGGATCATTCCTCTCTCTATATATATATATATATAATTACTTACTATTCCTATTTTTTCTCTTATTTTTTCACATGACTCCACATGGGTTTTACATATTTTTATATATGTATATGGAATACTTTTATCTTTTATAATACGCAACATCAAACCCTAAGGGGTGTTTGTTTCAGGCAGTGTTTTAAAACTCGGACCGGTCATCGAACCGGTCAAGGAACTGGGTCACTGGGTCACTGGTTCAACCGGGTTCAACCGGGTTGAACCGGTTTTACTGTTCACATATTAAAAATATAAAAATATTACTTATATTAATAAAAATTCATATAAGAAAACTATCAATGAGCTTCAAGAAATAAATTGGTTTTCAATGATAGCAAATATTATATACTTCTAAGCTTCTAGCTCTAGACCGTATCCTAATATTGGATTAAACCATGCAATATAAGTTAAATGCACTTTTTGTGCTTGACATGATACGGATAAATTAAATCATGATAACAAATAGTATGCATGAAATATACATTATAAGAAAAAAGTGTCCACCGTTGAGATGAGATCATGAGACCATCAGTGTTTATCACCACTTAACTTCATGAGATCATTATAAGATACAACTAAATTACATAAACGAACTACACTAATCTAAAATACCTTATTATTTTCACCTTACTTTTAATCATATTCATCATAAAATATGAATATGATTTAATTCAAGAGTTCTTATCAACAACAAAAAAATTTACCAAAAAAAAAAAAAAAACCGGTTTAACCCGAGTCAACCGGGTCACCGGGTCGCCGGTTTTCGGCCGGGTCAACCGGTCCAATACGGGCTGACTGCATAACCGGTCCAACTACCCGCTCGGACCGGGGAACCCACCGGGTCACCGAGTCCCGGGTCGACCCGGCCGGTCCGAGCCGGGTTTTAAAACACCGGTTTCAGGAGTTTGTTAAAGTTTCTCGGGGAAGTGATTCCTGCATTGTCATTACTCCACGTTTGGTTTACGATTTTCATAAATTTTACCCATCTTTTGTTGTTGCCTGTCTATTGACAATTGCAAGTAATTTGTCTGAAAAACACTGTTAACGATTGCTTCGTGGAAGGTGGTATTTGTTTCAAATTCGAAGAAGTTCAAAAAGTGGTATAAATCGGTGACTGTATTACCCCTCGAGCTTCTTCTGACGCTTGGCCTTGGCATGAACATCTGATCTCTTCTCCTTGTTTTTAATCATCGAAGGAAGCAACTCCTCCTTGTTCTTTTTCTTCGTTATTGCTTTCTTCATCGAACTTTCTTCGACATCGTCGCTTCCTGAACCCTCGCTCTTCTTCCTCTTTCCCCCCATTGTTGGTAACCGTAGCAACCACTTTACGGTTTTCGAAGCAGAAGAAAGAAAAACAGAGAAGAGTGAAAAAAAAATTTGATTAGGGTTTTGAAAGAGGGGTCAATGGGGTCTGTTCCCCTGTTTGCTTCCCTATGGCTTTCCCTGTGCACCATGCAATCGTATTATTACATGTAAACTGAAAAAAAAAAAAAATTAAACATCTTCATATTAATTAAAAGATAACGTTCGATATTATAAGTTTGTAATGAAATTTTAATATGATACTGTGTTTTGTATAATATCATATTAGATGATATTATTCTGTATTTGATAACATTAAAACCAATCCCATAAAACCTGCTTGTAAATTTTTTTTATTTTAATTGCATATATTAATTTTTGTTTTTCACTTTTTTTCTATCAACCTTCCATGTTTTCTTTTCATTTGGCAATTTATGTACAAGTGTTGGATAATATTTATTTTGGAGAGAGACCGAGATGGCAAACAAAAACGGAGACAAAGACGATGTGGATATTGGTTGGGTCAATTGAATGTAATTTCAATAAGTTTTCAATAAGTTTTAAAAATAAAGAGTTATTTCTAAAAGGGTTATTTTGTAATTTTAATAAATTTTCCCATCAATATTTTATTTTCAACCAAACACATATTTAGGAATTTTACTCAATTTTTTCGATATTATTTTGTCCAACCAAACAACATTTTTTAAACTTTCCTATATAACTCACTTTCCCTGCAGATCTTTAGTAATTACATTTTCTTAGTATAATAAAAATTTCACCTGAACCAAACACCCCGTAAACATATATCATGTGAATAGTATCAAAATAAATTAAAAAAAAATCAATTGTTTGCAGCGGTTATATGCTTAAAACATCTGTGCAGCTTCTTGATAAAAAAATAAATGAGGAAAGTAAAAGATCAATTTTGTTTATGATGCGCATATATTGCTTTAAGAATGATATTGTCGTTTTGCTAGTGATTTTTTATTCTTTACTATTTAATTTTGGAATTAAAAATCTAAGTCAAATTATTTTATTGAGCTTTAACTTAGTCTTCCTCTGCCTAATCTTAAATATTGTTTGTGACATACTTCCGGAAAGAAATAATGAAGATAAAAAGTAAAAACGATTGACAATTATAAACTGTAATTTTTAAGTCATAAATGACTCCGGCAATTAGATTCTAGGTATCCTTATCTACTTTTCTTTTTAGAATTGTATGTGAAAAATGGGCTGATGCACAAAATTTAGATTGGGCGTATAATCTATGATGGGCCAAAAAGTTAGGTAAGTGTGGAAGATCTTGTGTATAAGAACCCTCCGTTAATTTCGTCCATATGTAGTTGTGGTTCTCTATGATCTAAAATGATGGAGCAAATCAAGGGGAGTTGTTTCAAGTGATATATGTTTAATTTTGTCTAAATAAGATTTTAGATTCATGTCAAACATTTTTTTCTAGAGAGTTAGCGTTATTATGATATAAATCTTGACATTTTTTCTAGAGAGTTGGCGTTATTATGATATAAATATGGGTAAAGGATTTTTCCAGATAAGTTATCTCCAGTGAGTCCAAAACGACGTCGTTTTGGTATGGAAATCAGGATTTTTTGTAATTTTAATATATTGCAGGGTTATATTAGTCTTTATCATTATACTTTTTTAATTTTATAATCCAAAACAATGTCGTTTTGAGCTCACTGAAAATAATTTTATCTCCGGTGACCGAAGAAATACTTTTTCCTATAAATATATCTGACTCGAATAGAATTGTTTCCCGTAAAAGAATAACTGTGATTTATAAAAAAAGAAAAAAAAAATAAACTGTATAGATAGCTGAAGCAAAAAGCAATTTTAAGTTCAGTGGTTTGAATATTCCTGTGATGTCAAGAGTTATAGCCCGTAAAAAAAGATATGCCCGTCATCTCAAGCAATGACACAAGAAAACCTGTAAAACAAAAATAAAATAAATAAACACAAAAGAAATTTGTGGCAGGGAATTGCGGATAAAATGTCTCCCAAAAGCCTCATAAAATATAAAGATTTGTCTAAATTTTTCCATCACTTTGCTTTATACTGAACTCAACAAATCTATTCTTTTCCTTTACGTTAGGTGAGGGTCATAGGAAAAAAAAATTAAATTATTATAATTTAAATAAATAATAACAAATATATAATTGTTTCGAAACTATTTACGATGTATTGCCATTTACTCACGCCCATTTTAGGCATGACCACTCATGTCTAAAAGATGTATGACCACATGCTCATTTTGGGCATGACCACTCATGCTTAAGAGAGGCATGACCACGAAGATGCTAACACGTGGCATAAAAAAAATTAATAGTTTGATAGTAAAATTTCGGAAGACAATAACTTTGGCTCCGAGTGGCCAAACTAGGTGTTTTTTTTATTCCAAATAAATTTTTAAAATCTACACAATGACACTTGATTTGACATAATTAGAAACATTGATGCAGCATTGATTGTCAAATCAGAAACATTGATGCAGCATTGATAGATAGAAAATCACTCTCATGATTAGGAATATTCCTAACAAATATCCCTATAATTATGGTACCATTTTGCAAATTCAACCTATATTTATGAGAGACGAAATTTCAACTTAAATAACATCATTCACACTCACAAATATAAAATATACCAAACATGTTTATCTCAAAAAGTTATGCGAAATAAAAAAAAAAAAACTGATTATAATCTTTTGAAGTTTTATGATAAAATATCCAAATTTTGAAAAAAAAATTCACCAAAATTCTCTTCAATGAGATGTCATTGCGAAAATCTCAAAAATTTATGTGAAATCAAAAAAAAATTCACCTAATTTAGATATTTGAGTTAAAAGTTTTGGTCTTCTAAAATTTTATGGTCAAACTGTTAACTTTTTTATGCCACATCATAATGCTAAATTAGGTGTAAATGATCACGTCCAATTTAGACGTGATCATTTTGAAAAAAAATAATTATAATCTTATGAAGTTTTATGATAAAATATCCAAATTTTGAAAAAAAAAAATACCAAAATTCTCTTCAATAAGATGTCATTGCGAAAATCTCAAAAAATTATGTGAAATCAAAAAAAAATTCACCTAATTTAGATATTTGAGTTAAAAGTTTTGGTCTTCTAAAATTTTATGGTCAAACTATTAACTTTTTTATGCCACATCATCATGCCTAAGTTAGGTGTAAATTATCACGTCCAATTTAAACGTAAATCACTGTAATAAATTCGTAAATAATCTCAAAACAATTATATATTTATAATTATTTATTTATATTATAATAAATTAATTTTTTTTTCCCTCCATGTGTGATTCTGAAAATTAGAAATCACCAGCATTGATTAAACGACAACTATTGTCAATATATTAATGTGATATTGTGATGTTCTTATTTATCAAGGGGTTTACTAATCTCATGTTACATGAGATAGTACTCTCATGTGGGTGATACAAATATGTGGGGTCCACAATTTAAAAAGAAAAAGAAAAAGAAAAGAAAAATTGACACGAAATTCTATGGGTATATAACATAAGATAACTATCTTATGTCACATGAGACTATTATTTTCCATTTATCAAACAGCCATACACCAACCATAGATTTAGCCAAGCATGAAATGCCATGCCAATGTTAACATTCTTTTTCCAGGAACAACATACAAACTAAATATAAGAGTACACGAATGAATAATCACAAACTCACTAACACAAACACCATATTTCCCCCCTCTTCTACCATTCTCTCTACCTTGGTCTCTTTCCTCTGATTATGATCTTCAAGAGACGAGCTCAGATTCTACAATTATCATGGCCTGCAAAATAACAACAAAATATATATATACAAATCATAAACCATGCATAAGTATAAAAAGAAGTCACAACATTCTGTTTTTTTTTTTTTTATATAAATAAATTGGGTATTGAGATTTGAGACTGACTTGGATTAGAGGAAGTAATGAGGCCAGTGTTAGAGAAGTCACAGTTGAAATCATGGCGACCATTGGCTTGAAAATAGGCGTTCATGGCATAAGTGGCAAGTGCCCTAATGTTGTTTGGGGCAAAGCAAACACCTCCTGGTTGGATTGGTTTGCAATCAACTCCTTGGCTACACACATAGTTTATGTTTGCTTGTAAGGCTTCGTTGCTAGCATCTGCTTTTGGCACGCACCATCTTTGTCCTCCTGATGCTACTGGTCTTGGCACTCTTCCTCCTCTCTGCATTTTTCATCAATCAAATCATAAATCAATGAAATTGGCTTTGTCTCATTCTATAATTTAAAATTATGGACTCAAACCTCTAATTTCTTTATTACTTTCTTATTATTATGTGAGTGTTTTCCGTCCAACTTGTACTAACCATTGTTTAATATTACATAAACAGTCGATTTTAGCCCGTAAGTAACAAACTACACATCAGAGTAAGAAGCTGAATACGAAGAAGACAAGGTTTGTTTTGTATATTTGCAGAGTTGTGTGAAGCCTTGACTTGACATAACTGAAATAAAAAAATTGATAGACTTCAGAATTATATTAAGAATAAAAATGTATTTAAATTTAGGGAAAATATTTTCTCATGTTGCATGAGAATTCAATTATCATGTTGAGACCCTTCGATTTGCGTGCAAAGCTTTTCTTTTCTTTTTCTCTTTTTAATAAATGTGGGGCCACCACACTAGTTGAGTCACAACAGTAGTTGAATCACAACATGAGAATTCAGAATTGAATTCTTATGCAACATAAGAAAATCAAATCCTTAAATTTACCCACAATTAAAACTTTTAAGTTCCAAACAATTTAAATACAAAACCTTAATTAGTTTTCCTGGAAAAAGAAGAAAAGGAAAGTGCATTGAAATTTGCTACCCTGTGACCTTTTGTCAGTATTATCATATATATTAAATATATGGAAAATATTTTTCTCATTTCGTTGGAGATAGCTATCTCATGCTATACACCCATCGAATTTTGTGCCAGCTTTTTCCTTTATTTTAAAGTGTGGACCCCACATATTTATCTCTCACACATGAGAGAACTATCTCAAGCAACCTGAGATTAATAACTCCCTAAATATATTTGGTGAGCCCATGTGACGAAGGAGACAAGATTGTTTTGATAGTGCAGCGCAGCAGAGAAAGAATCGAGGAAAATAAAGTAAAAAGACAAAACATTACATAATTTTAAAAACATTAAAAACAAACAAAAGTACAAAACCTGTGCGTTGTTGCGCAAGATTCCAGACTCATAAACGGGAGTGAAATCCGGTTGGAAGAGACCCCAGTTACGCTCCGCGATCGGACCGGGTTTTTGGTTCTCATTAAAAAGAGCAAAAATGTAAGTCTCGAACCGGCGGTTCGGCATCAACGGCGTTCCCTTCCCTTGTTCCAAGTGCTTCACAAGCTGGCCATTGTAAGACTGAGCATTAGCCACGCTGCACGCGTCCCAACCGTCGCAAACGGAGGGCCACCCCGTTTCACCAACGGCAATGTCCACGTCACCGTACCCAAGGGCTTTCATGGCAGAGTAAACGGCGTCCATCAGAGCATCGAACTGGTTCGTGTAAGTCAACTTGGTGTTCCTGTCGTACAACCCACGGTTCGGCCTGAACAGTGCAAAGTTCACATTCTTTGGGTTGTAACCGAAATACGGGTACGGGTTCACCATAAACGGTGTCCTTGTTTCCTTGAGGAACTTCAGCATTGGCCCCAACACGTGCTTCGCAAACCCAGGCCTGAATTGACCCGCACTTGGTGGTATTGATGCCCGCATTATCGCCAGAGAGTGTGCAGTAGTAACCTGATTTGTACCAAAAAAAAAAAAAAACCAAAATTTCAGCTTTCAACTTTAATTCAGCTAAATTTTCGTTGATTAATATATTAGGATATTACAACAATTTTTTTCATGTCTACTAATCCTATTCTTCTACAACTTCCCTCTTGGTGTTGAAAAAAAGTAAGTAAAATCTATGTAACGGTGTTGAAAATGAGAAAGTAAAATAAAAATAATTATGGTGGCTTTTTCCAATGAAAAAATAACATTTTTTTTAATTTTAATTCAAATAGATGATCTAAAATAATTTTCATGGGATTAATCCCATATTCAAATAGTATCATGTTATGCCATACGAAAGACGGTGGCTCGTTCTAAAGGAGTGATTATAAATTAATGTTGAGATATATAATCACATTGGGTTGTAACCGAAATAAGGGTACGGGTTCACCATAAACGGTGTCCTTGTTTCATTGAGGAACTTCCATTTATAAGGGCTCGAGCACTCTCCCTTTGAATATATGAATATGTCACCCTTTGAATATATGAATATGTGCAACTAACGTGTCTTTTGAAAAGAAATTTTGAGATACACCACCCTAAAAGCTACTTCACGTCAACTTAATTTTGTGTTAAAAAAGTGAAATTTGCGATATACAAACTAGAATAAAAATATGGAATTAGTATTTGTCATGTGTTAGATGACCCCACATGGTCCCACATTTTTTTTATGTGTGTAGTCTCCAAAAACATTAATCTCTAAAAATATAGAGGTAATAACAAGGTGAGTTAGATGAATTACCTTAACGTCTGTGATTCCCTCAGCAAGAAGGGCAGAGTGGAGGGTTCTCATGGCGGGGACAAGGCTTCGGATCATGTTGGTGTCGCCCCAGTGGAGGACCTCGCTTCCTACGAGGATGTAGTTGATCTTTGTCTGAGGGTGGAAAGGTTTGATCTTGCTCACGACCCATTGTCGAGCGGAGTTGATGTTTGTCAGAGCCGCTATGTCCCCGTTGGGGGCGGTGACGGTGACGGAGATGCCGCTGTTGGCGAAGGCTTGAAGGATTTGCGGGCTCACATCGAAGATCTTCACGCTGTCGATGATGGTCTTTGTTTTCAGGAAGTTTGCCACCGCTGACGGCGGCGGAAGGTTGTCGCCGAGGGTTCCGTAGTTGACGCCGATGGAGTATGCGGCGGTGGCGAGGTGGAGCACCAGGAGGAGGAGGAAGATCGGCGAGAAGGTTGAGGTGGACATGGTTTTGGTAACAGCTATTGTTATGTGAAAAGTCATAGGCAACGGTCTTATGTTTGTGTTTATTTATAGCTGTGAAGAAATGAAAAGACATTGATTGGGGTTGAGGTGTACGCTTTTTTAGGAATGTGGTAAAAATAAATAACCCCGTAAATAAGTAGTGTGGTTCCTATTTTTATTATTGTGTGTGTATATCTCTTTATCAAATCTTTTAGGTATGATGACTAATCAAAATGTATTTGTTATCTGAGGCTATTCTTAGACAAAAAAATCTTTTCTTTTTCGTTTCCAAATGTTAAACAAATTTTTGTCATTATCTACTTGTTAAGAATGTCATCGTTCTAACAAGAAAATGGTTTCATTTAATAATTTCTTGTGTTGTTAAATTCTTTATGATTGAATTACTTGAAGTTATAAATTTAGGAATATACTCTCATATTTCATGAGATAAATTATTTCATATAACACATAAAAAAATAAGTAAAATTTATTTATTATTATTTTTAATATTTTTTTGGTGGATTCGATGCATTTCTTATGTGTTAATATGAGATTATATAAGAAATTATATTCTAAAAAATATATTATGAGAATAATAGTTATATTTTTATAATAAATAAGAAGCAGGTTTATCAAGATTAAACGTGGAATAATAATTGGTTCAAGTGTAACGTAACGGGGTGAGTAAGAACACCAGAGATTGCAATGTGGGCGTAGCAGCCTTGCTTGAACGGCTACAGAATTGGGTAATAATGAAAGAAACGAACAAAAGGTAAGCCACGGAGAAAGGTGCACGCCAGATGGCGATACTGTAATTGTGGTGGGATTGAGAATCAGATTCAAAATTGAATTAGAAAGTATTAGAGGAGAGTCTTGGTGTGGTGGGGCATTTATGGTGGGGTCAAAAAGGTTGTATAGAATTTCTCTTGTTTATTTATTAATCCAACGTTCGAAAGTGTGAACCAGACGCATCTTATCTGTATCGGGCTGACACAGATACAGAGAAAAGGTGCCAACGAAGATAGTTATTGTTGTACTACACACTAGACTTACTACATCCCGTCAAGATAAATGTCTGAGAAATCTAACCTAACGCGTTTCCACGCGTGCGATTCGTGGTCATTGTGTTTGTGGTGCGAGCTACGCGGTTTCCACGAGGCCGGTTGAATCTCATTGGGTCATAGATTTGGGCTCTATTCTCGTTTCGGTCTTAGACTGCTATTGGTTATACAAATGGAGTCTGCAAATCCACCCCTGCCTAATAATATAATATCATATGAGAAATATATTTTTTATGTTATATAAAATAATTTTATCTTATATATAAATAATTAATAAAAAAAAATTTCTTTTTTTCTTTTTTTTTAATGGGTCCCATATTTTTTATGTTTTGTATGAGATAAGATATAAAATTATCTCATACAATATGAGAAACATTAATCTCTTAATATATTTTGGATGTCGACTGCTACATTTTTACTAAATAAGTTATTTTTATTATGTGTGTCATATCTTTTATTTATTAATTTAAAACAACACTCTTGGTCAAGTGTTATATATTTTTTAAATTGGTATTTTCTATTTTAAGTATTATAAGATAAAAATATTTATCATTTAAATAATATATATGTAATTTTAGTTGAAACATAATTATTTCATTTTTTCCATTTTATATAGATATTTCATTTTAATATATATTTCTTGATCTTTTATATATTCTCTCCTTTATAAAACTAGGGGGAGAAAAAAGAAATATATTATGAAGGATAGAGACTATAAAAGGCCAAAAATATGTAGAAAAACATAATTATTTCATTTTTCCCCATGTTATATAGATATTAAATTTTAAAAGTAATAATAATTTTTAATTATTAATATAGAATTTTTTCTCTTTCTTCTTTATCTTTTTACTTTCTCACAAATGCCTTAGATTACAAGGAGAAATAGCCTGGAAAGCACTTGAAATGCACTTTTTTTTAAAAAAATGCTTGTCGAAAATCGACATGTTTCAACACGCATTTGATATGTGGTCAATATTTTGAGATACGCGATCAATGCTCTGATATACAGTTAACTTTTTTCGACAAGCGATTAACGCTTTGACACTTTTTTTATTTAAATTTTATTTTATTAACTAAACAAGAAAAAATAATTTATAAATTAATTTTTTTTGTTATGAAATTTGACATGAAAAATTAACAAGGTATGAAAAATTATTTTTATTTTATATTTATGTTATAAAATTTGAATATTTGATTAGTTATATAACTTATTATGGGTTGTTATATATTAAAAACATTATTTAATATCAAAACGTATCCTAATATATTAAAATATGATATTTTTTAATATTAATATGTCAATATATCATCTCGTATCCTGTTTCATATCTCATATTAATATCAGTGCAATATATATAATAGCCATAGAATCGGCAAATTAATCCACGTCAGCGTAATGAAATATTTAAGAAAAGTGTTATCGAAATCGTTGGTCAAACAAACCTATACAACAAGAACCAGACCATTAATCCATGCGGTCAAGTCAATGCTAAACCTACAGCAGTTTTGTGAGTTTAATAAATTCTTTAGAATTTGGGATAAGTTATTGTATTTAGGGGTGTTAATGGTATGAAATGGGCCAAATTTTGGTCTTCAGTTTGTGTTTAAATGTTATTTTAACCTAGCCTATTACTGAATATAATTATGTATATGTGGTGTGATTTATTTTCAAAAAATAAAAATCTGATTTAACTTATTAGTCAATTAAAAAAGACAATAAATAGTTATCCAAACCGATCAACGACACTGAGGATTTCATAAAGATTCATAAATTCAATGTATATTTAATAGCACAACATAGAACAAAAATACTTTGTTTAACCAATAAAATAGGAGTGAAATAAGTTGAGGAGAGAGAGCTAATATAAGTAACATAAAAATATAAAATAAACATAAAAGTTAGCATATTAGATCAGTCTGAGAGACTCTAAGACCGGCTTTTGAATTGAAACTTGATGCCTTTTTATTAAACAAATTTTTATATAAGTCCAAGACTAGTTTCAACAATCAATTTTATACATGTAAGTTCAAATCTTCACGAGTCAGGCCAAAGGCCCCTAGTTTATTTTGCACCTCTAAATCGGCCTATCTCTTTTTTTGTCTATATTTACTTAGCAGTTACCACTCTCGAACACACCATTAAATCAGAATCTAAACTACTTTTATCATTTATATCTCCTGTTATAATTTTGATTTAATGATATTGGATTGTAGTAGCTAAAGATAGACATAAAAAAAAAGTACGTGTAATAACATATTTCAATGAGTTTTAAACAAAATTTTCAAAGATAATTTTAACCACTAGTCCGCAACTAAGTATTAGTTATAGTATTTCTTGCGGCTTTTTTACCTTTATAACCTTTTATTAATAATTAATTACCAAATTGACCTTCATTATAAACTATTTCAAAAATTTAACCTCCCCAACAAACATAACACTAATCTGCCCCTGTTTGACCGTTGACCACCAAGTCTACCCGGGTACTCCCCTCCCTACCCGGGTATTTTTTGAAATTTTTGCCTACCCGGGTAGGGAGGGGTGTACCCGGGTAGAGTTCTTCAATCTGGAAAAATAGTTGAATTATTTACCCGGGTACATAGGGGTGTACCCGGGTAAATCTCCACCAGAAACCCCAAAACCCCTCCTAGATCTCTGCAGCAGCCAACAGACATAAAATTTACAAAATCGGTTTCTCCTCCTTATCTTCATCTTATGTTAATTTTTTTATCCCATCTTCCCACGGTATTGTCACCTACCATTTGCTATGGTTTTTTCAAATCTTGGGTTGGTTGAAAGTTCTAAACTTTTTTTTGATTTCTTTGCAAGTTTGGTTTTGAATGAATGCTTCTGAGAAAAGGGTACCTTTCAACTTTACTGCTCTTGTACTTGTTCCTCATACAATTTTTTCCGAATCTAGTTTGTTGCAGTTTTTGAACAGGTATCGCTTCTTGTCATTGGATGTGTGAATTTCTGAACCTATTCGACAGAGGCCATGCATTATTCTGCCTCCTCCTGCTTCATTTTGCATCCAAGGCCTGGTGTCAGTTTCCGAGTTCTGTTAGAATTCCTGGTGATGACTGTTAATGTAAGTAAACTTACAAGTGCTATAGGAGTTGTTATGTAGCAGTCTCTTGAGTTCAATGGGATTTCATTTTAGTCTCTTGAGTTTTATTTAATTTTGGGGTTTTTGACAGAGATTTACCCGGGTACACCCCTCCCTACCCGGGTAAATAATTCAAACATTTTCCCAGATTGAAGAACTCTACCCGGGTACACCCCTCCCTACCCGGGTAGACAAAAATTTCAAAAAATACCCGGGTAGGGAGGGGTGTACCCGGGTAGGCTTGGTGGTCAACGGTCAAACAGGGGCAGATCGGTGTTATGTTTGTTGGGGAGGTTAAATTTTTGAAATAGTTTATAATGAGGGTCAATTTGGTAATTAATTATTAATAAAAGGTTATAAGGGTCAAAAAGCCATTTTACAATAATATCATTTCATTTTCTTAAATTTACGATATTATATTGATACAATTGAAAATATTTTTCTTTTTATAGTCATTTATACTAACTTTTTCTCTCTATCTTTATTTTCGTATTCAATCAATATTTTTGGTAGGCTAGTCACTTTAATTAAATTTTAAGGATTAAATATTTATATATCACAATATTAATTTTTTGAGATAATTTTTTTTAATATTTAAATTACAAAGATAAATTTTTATATTACATAGGAGCAAAAACTTTTTATAAAATGGATTAAATTTTGAATCACAAAGATAAATATTTAAGTGATAAGATTTAAATTTACTTTATATATATATATATATATATATATATATATATATATATATATATAAGTAAAATCATTTATTCGGCTGCTGAACGTCCAGCAAGAAATCTTACATCGCTAATTGGTTATGATTTCCTGCATTTTAATACTTTCACACACCTTTGTATGATTATGATTTTCTGAATTTATTTGCTGGATGTCAAGCGGTAGAAAAAAAGTAAAGTCCATATTATGGAGGTAAATATATATTACATAAATATTTACAATGTGAAATGATATTATTATCTAAAATATAAGATGAATATAA